GGGTGGGCGTGGGTGTGCACGTGTGCGTGCATGTGTGAGTGTGTGCATATCCACAGGCATGGGTGTGCGTGTGCATAGGTGTGCATGCACATTTGCATGGGTGTGCATGCAGGTGTGCATGTGGGTGTGCAAGTGCATGCGTGCGGGTGTGCAGGTGCATGCGTGTGGGTGTGCAAGCGCATGCGTGCGGGTGTGCAAGCGCAAGCGTGTGGGTGTGCATGCACGCGTGCAGGTGTGCAAGCGCATGCGTGCGGGTGTGCAAGCGCAAGCGTGTGGGTGTGCAAGTGCATGTGCGTGGGTGTGCAGGTGCATGCATGTGGGTGTGCAAGTGCATGTGTGTGGGTGTGCAGGTGCACACGTACGGGTGTGCATGCAGGCGTGCATGTGCACACACTCCCTGCCAGCCCTCCCCAACGCGGCTGTGAAGCCCGAGCTCTCCCCACGGAGGGCCCTGGCATCCCACACCCGCTTTGTGCAGAGCCATACCCCAAAGTCAGCCTAGCCAGGAATTTCCTGACTGATTTTTTTTTTCTACGTTCAAAAATTTCCATTTGTTGAAATCGTACCATTTCTTCACGGAAATGAACCCATCTTAAGAAAGGCTTTCAGAAATCCAGTGTGAAGTTTCTCGTCTGAACAGGATGAGGCTCCCTGGTGTAGAGGAGCTGGCGTGCACTGTTTTTCCAAGCTGTTTGCGCTCATAAAAACCCAGAGTGCATCACGCACTAATTAAAATTGCACTGAAAAGAAGAAAATCCATGTTGAGTTTTGCTCAGGGTGAGAAAGAGAGAAAGAAATTGCTTTTAGTGGGTCTGACGCTGGCTTTCTGAGCATGTCGGGGCATCACTGCCTGCATCCCGAGGGTAAATCCAAGTGGGATGGACGCGGAGTTGCTGAATATTTGGGGAAAGCACTGTGCATGTGTGTGTGTGGGGGGTGTGTGCGCACATGCGTGCCCCGGTGTGTCTTGGCTCCCTGCAAAGGGGTTTGGGCTCCCTGGCCCCGGGGAGGCAGGAGCTCCTCACCCCAGGGCCAGCTCCCCTTCCCTTAACTCGGCAGCGGCAGCTTGGGGATGTAAAACAAACACACCAGGGGTCTTTAATATTTGAGAGGCCAATAACAGAAGGGAATCAGACTGACAAGTGAAAGACAGCGGGTTATGTGGAGGAGAAAAATCACATTTTAATGGAAAGCAATCACAGGCAGCCTTTGAAAATATCTGGAAGGTTTGGGGAATCTAAATGCAGCAAAATTTGTGCAGACACCGGGTTCGTCTTTCTCCACTTTTCACTGGAAAGTTTCACCTCTGAAGCTTTTGTTATTCACTGGAAACCCAAGTATCTGAAAACATTTTCTTTTCCTGTCAAAATTATAGTTTCAAAGGAAAACTTTGGAGCAGCTCTACTGAAAGACGGTTATGATTACAGGAAAGAATTACAGCGGTGCTGTTAAGCAGACATAATTGATCAGCATAGCAGCAATCTTCACAATATCCCCCACTCCAGGCACAGGAAACACTGCAAATACCACTCGTAAACCAAATTAGGCATTATTATTTTATTACTGTTGTAAGGTAAATGTCAAGGTTTTTAATGGCAATCACTGTAACTCCGGCAGGAGTCGGGCGTCTGAATTAGCTGGAAGAGGTGAGAACCTCCCAGGGCTGGGAGTTAATAAAACTCAATAAATATCATTGGCCCCTTCCAGCCCTTGGCGAGTGCCGGGGATGGAGTGGCTGGATGGGGCGAGCGGCAGGGGGCGAGGGGGGATGCACACGCATCCATGCACACACATCCATGCACACATGCATGCACTCGCATCCATGCACACGCATCCATGCACACATGCATGCACACGCCCATGCACACGCACCCATGCACACACGCATCCATGCACACGCCCATGCACACATGCATGCACACACACATGCACACGCCCATGCACACACACCCATGCACACACAAATACACACAAATGCATGCACACATGCACACGCATCCATGCATACACACCCATGCACACACAAATGCACACACATCCATGCACACAAACATGTACATGCAGCCCCGGAGCCAGCTCAGCCCTGTGCTCCCCGGCCCCTGTGCTGAGCAGGGGGCAGAATTGGACCCCTCCACACGGCCACTCTCCATAGAGAGCGTTATAAATACCCGGTCTTGAACCAGGGGGGTTGACGGCAGCAAAACCCTGTGTGACCCAAATTGTCCTTCCCCTCCACAGCTGCGGGCTGTGCGACAGCCGCTGGATCCCGACGGGGAGAGGGATACTTGGGATGCAGAGAGGGACAGAAACCACAGGATGATGCTGGTCAGGAATGGGTTTCTTTTTCACCCCATCCACCAGCATTCAGGGTTTCAGAGAAAGAAAAAAAAATTTCCATGAAAAGACAATAATTTTTTGGGGAAAAATCCTCAATCTCTTTAAGATGACAATCAGGTTCTCTGTATAAAAAGCAGTTCCGATGGAAATCTCCCATCAGTGCCAATGAAGAGGGAACAATCACTAATTTTCCTTGAAGCTAATGAGCGCGAGTCTATATGACAGGGGAGAATTTAATCTGACGTGAACTGAGGAAGAGAAGCAATACTGATATTAATGTGTGACTAATTGATACCCAGAAGAACATTTGAAATGATTAAAAGGCATTTGATTTTTATACAGGACAATAAGAGGCTCATTGGCTACGACTGGTGCATCCTTTCTGTTTTCTACTTCTTGCTCCAATCTGCCCAGAAAAATCTATCATATCCGCAGCGTAGCCTGACTGCTGCATAAAAT